GAAGTAAACGTATGCGGGCTTTTAGATGAGACAAGACATCAGCGCAAATCACACAGAATCATCAGAGGCCTTTACGCACTTTACTGTTGCAGTTTATGGCAATGATCAGGGACATCCAGCCACACTGTGTCAATACCCGTTCTGTCCCTGCCTTTTTTTTTTTTTTTTTTTTTTTTTAATATAGTCCATATATTCCAATAACAGTTCGAGGGAGGCCGGGGACCTCACAATTTCAACCCGGAGTTATCCCGGCAGCATCAGCCGGTTTGGCTTAGCTTAAGAAGCCTTAAAGGCTTAATCCATTCTAATCTGCAACAATCTTCTGTTCCTACCTTCAGCCATCAGGGCTATCAATAACAAACTGATTGAATGCACAGACCATTTGCTCCTCTGTGACTCATTCCTACAAACAGCTTCTCCATCATCTATTGTAAAACCAAACATTGACTACCTACCTCTACATCTACATCTAATCTAAACTAAACTAACCTACCTGAGTCTAATACACAGGCCTACACGGCCTGACACCGGCCTAAAGGCGACCGGCTGGAACAACAGTTCCTGGGACCCGTGGTACTCTCAGCTCCTACTCATTTGACCTCCTGCGGTCGGAACGGGAACCGAGATACCCTGGTTCTGTTACTTAACCTACCCCCTCAACCCTGTAGCCACTGTGTCACCACCAAGCCTTTCTCCCGATGGACCCCAGCCAGGCGGTTCCCAATTGCCCATGTTTTCAGAAACCACCAGAGGGCACTCCTATTAGCGTTCCCACACTTCGCCCTTCTCCGCCAATCCGCCCAGATCGCTCTCCTCATGCCTCTTTTGATTGCTGTCTTAATCTCCAGGTCTGCGAACGGGCGCCCCTCACAGCGGGAGCGGTTTCTGTCCGCCCAGATTACTGAGCATATCACTGCTCTGGCTACCTGGGCCACGTAAGGCCACCCTCGCTTACCTGTCCTCTCCGCTTCCACAAAACCCAGCAGAACCCAGCGCTCATCCCACTCCAAATTTCCACCCCCCATTTGCGCCCAGTGGTCGGCCCACCACTTCGAAGCCGGGCAATCCCACCAGAGATGCTTCGTTGATTCAAAGGGCCAGGTACAGCGTGTGCAGCCCAAGGAGATCTCCATCCCTCAGCCCTTCAACCAGACCGCCGAGGGCGTGACTAGCAGCGAGAGCATCCACAGTATGCTAGCCTGTTTCCCGTCCGGAATCTCTGCCAGCACACCCCAAAGTTTCACAAAATCGTCCGTGGAGTCCTGAAGATCAGTCAGTAGCACTGCACTCCACCTAGTAATAGCCACTTTGGCTGGCGATCTGTCTCTTGAATCCGCCATTTTGTACGATTCCTGGGCTGAGAAGGAGACCAGATCCAATCCCTGAGGGGAGGCAGGGGAGGACTTACCCTTGCTCCAACGCCATGCTCTGGGATCAATGGGGAGGGAGTTTAGAGGGGCATTACCCACCCATCTTGCAGACTTGAAAGTTCCTCTCTTGTCATAATATTCAATAACTCTTATCTGAGCGGGGTTTTGCCACTGGGAGATCACTCTATTCCCCACTAGCTGGAGCTCACCTGTGGAGTTCACGGTGCGCCATTCCTGAGTCTCTCTGAAACCACTTTTTGTCAAACCTTGCAACTTCCATACCGTCCTCTGGTTAGGTCCCAACCCTGGTGCATACCAGGTACCCGGAGGGTCCAAGCCCTCAGGACCTAGTAACGCTTGCCATTATTCTGGAATAGCCTGAAGGAGTGTTTTCCACCGCTCTTCAATTTGTCTCAGACCCTGGAGTGGAACTCGAAACTCCTGCAGCTGTTTCCACGTCCCCAAAAACTCCGACCAGAGATCAGCTACCCTTACCACTCCTCTCTTCATCCAGGATTTGCCAAAGGCCCCAGCTTCCGGCCCCGCAGAGAATTGCCTTCCTTCATTGTCCAGGATGAGGGACTTCTCAAAGAGAAGTTGGGACAGCACTTCCTCCTTTGACGTTGGTGGGGCTCTGACATCCGGAGGTTGCTTTATCCATGCTCGCCGTACTGCCTCCCAGAATTCCGAGCGCAATTTTCTCTGCATGAAGGGCTCAATGAAAAAGCAGCTGCAAACGTCTTCTCCTCTACTCAGTTGCCACTGCCTCTGCAGGATCCTTTCGGCCAGCAATATCCAGTCCTCCTTGACTTCAGCCAGGGCTACTTTCGCCAGCCACCTCCGCAGTTGGGCTTGTTTTTTTTCGCTGTGGGTCGATCAGGCCCAAACCCCCCTGCTCCCTCGGGAAGGTGACTAAGTCCCATGCCACCTTACTCAGGAATCCTTCGTCCCCTCTTGCCTGCGGCTTCGACAAAAATCTCGCCGCCAGTGTCCTAATTTCAGAGGAGTTAGCAGCTATTTCTCTTACCGACCCTACAAACCAAATAAGTGAAAACAGAGCAACATTGATCACCATGGCTCGGCCTAGTAGGGATAGGTGCCAGGCGGTACCCCATTGCTGAAGCTTTGTCGCTACCCTTTGCTGCAGTACCATTCCCTGAGCCATCCCCATCACTTGGGAGCTGACTAGCACCCCCAGAAACCATTCCCCCGACTCAGGATCCACACGCTGCATGCCCCATTCTACCCTCAGATTGTAGGACACTGGGAGGTAAACAGATTTATTCCAGTTTACCAGTGCTTCTGACAGTTGAGAGTACTCCAACAACACTTCCTTCACCGCCCCCATAGACTCCAGCGAGTTCTCCGACACCAAGAATAGATCATCAGCTAGGGCCTTGACCCTGCAGTCTTTGTTGGCGGACAGCGGCAGGCCACGAATGTGGGGATGCTTCCGGATCCGGTTCAGTGGAATCTCCTGCTGCAACACAAAGAGGAGAGGGGCCAAAGGGAAACCCTGCCTGAGTGAGCGTGTCAATTGAAAGGGGTTTGACATATGGCCGTTGACTTGGACTGCCGACTTTGCTGGTGTGTACATTGCTACTACCCGTCTGCAGAAACCTTGCCTGAAGCCGATTTTCTTCAGCGTGGTCATCACAAAAGGCCAGCCCACCCTATCGTACACCTTTTCCATATCGAGTAGGAGGACGGCCATATCCAAATTCTCCTCTCTGATGACCTCAATGCTTTCACGTTGCTAGTAACTGTTCCTAATACCTTTTTTTATCCTACTTCCCACTGGTGGTGGTCCTGAGCAATGCAACCACTCGCACAGCCTTTCTCACAGGTTTCCACAAGCCATGAAGTGCTCCCACATTTCTTGTCACCCATTCAAAATCGCAATCTCGGATGGGTCCGTCAGTACCTGCCCAGTTCTCTCTTCTCGGAGCTGACAGTGATTTCACAAACTTCCATACTGAAGGTGGTGGAAGACAGCGCACCATCGGCACCTGTTTACTGCCCAGCACCGGGCCAAGCAGGCCCTCTGATCCTCAATAGCTCAGTAACAGTTTTTAACTTTTTTACCTTAAGCTGATAAGCTCTCTTTCTCTTGTTCCATTTTTCACCCCTGGTAACTAACTCTGGTCTGGTTCCTTCTGACTCCAGTCTTCCCAGTGTTTCCTACCCGACGGTGAATCATTCCCTTTCGCCTGTTGTCACCCCCCTTCGAGCTAACCTCTGCCTTCGGGCACATCCGGCCCATGATCCGGAAGGAGGGTTTGTAACTGGAACACGAAAGCGTAGGACATTACTTTGCACTGCATTGTTTGCAGGTCGAACTTCGATGTCCTTACGTGATTATATCTTATCCGACAGGGCATGGTTGTTTCCGTCGGTTGCATGACCCCTCTCAGTTCAGTTAAGAATAGTTATCATAGGGGTCTCATAACTTCACTTCATAAGAATCATAACTGCATTAATTACTTAGTTGGAAACCTGGACATGACATGTGTGTGCACTGTGCGCCGATCAGGCAAGGCATGGAATACAGTGGTGTCGAAGATCAGAGCAGACTTACTTAGGGTGCAGGTGGCTGCATGGAAGGTGAGTTGAGTTGCTGTCCTCCTCAGCTTCCTCACCGTTTTCCTCTATTTGCTTCTCCTCATTGTCATCTGCCTCCTCCTATACTTTTCGTTCTTCTACCTCCCCTCCTCCTCCTTCCCCTCCTTCCCCCCGTCCTCCTCCTTCCCCTCCTTCCCCCTGTCCTCCTCCTTCCCC